TCGACGGCGCTCCATCGTCGTGTTCCTCCTTGGAGGCGTCGCTAGGGGTAGGGGTTGGGTTGGGTGCCTGCAGTTCTTGGTTGGTGGCGGCTGCGGTGCAGTGCTTGCTCGGGTTTCCGGTGGTGGTGGAGATTAGGTGCTGTGCCCTGCTATCCTTCAGTGGTTGCTGCCCTGCCGCGCTCGTGCTCCGCTGGCCGTTTTACGGCATCCCCGTGTTGTGGCACGGCTTGGATGTAGAGGAGATGGGTTCTCCTCTCTAGCATGTGCACATCCGGGTTGTGGCACATCCAATGTTTTCCTCCCTGCAGGCACGATCCTCCTCTACTCTGCTTGTTCGGTGCCCCGTGGATGTCTCTGTATTCGTTGTTCTAGTCTGCGATGTACCTCCGGCGGCTTGGTCTTGTTTGCTTTGTAATGGCAAGTTTGCACTTTGGTCTGCCGAAGTGTGATCTCTCTTGTAATCTTTCAGTTTTTCTCCAAGCTTTGCCTTGTAATAATCAGCACCATATATCCTAGCCGGTTGATGGCTTCATTAATTTGAAGTCGGGCTTTATGCCTTTCATCTAAAAAAATGGGCATTGCACCATCAGATGGTTGATGGTCTCCGGCGCAAGATTGCAGGGCAGGCATGCTGCATGTTGCATACCACCTCACACGAGCCGATTTGCCGGTCAATATCGATCTCTCATCACAAGCTATGTGAAGAACCATTCCTTTGGAGGAGCCTCATTCTTCCAAAGAGCACTGCATAGTCCGCATTCTCGGTACCAAAGAAGTACACACGATAAGCTGATCTAGTAGTGTAAACACCTGACACGGTGACACCGTCAGCCTCCATGTGAAGCTATCCTCCACATCACTCACCGGCGGTACCCTCTGGATAAGCCGCCAAAGCTCCATAAATTCAATGAACGCATCTAAGAAAGGGTCCTCTGATGTATTTAACCCATTTGCCCTCCTTCACGGCGTCCGCCACATATCTCAATATACCACATCTAGCCCTCACGAATGGATATAAACTAGGGACGATGTTTTTTTTTAATGGTCACTGGGAGGGGGGGGAGTACCCCCACCTGAATATATTGCTCAAAAAGCTGCCAAAGCCAAGAGTCACCCCTTAAGCTTTGGTTGATCCAGTTTATAAGGGAAACCGGGTCAAAAGCCTAAACAAGTTGACCCCGTTTATGAGGAAAATTAGATGCGATGTTGTGGGCACTTCGCCCCTCGGTCCACCTGTCATGCCAAGAGCTCACCCTATCACCTCTACCAATAGTGCACTTTTTTTTAAACGAGGCAAAAGACTTGCCATTTTCATTGATTAAGAAGAAGAAGAATTGTCCGGTTAATTGACAGAAAACCGGACTAAAACCGACACAATCCAGCCCACAAATGGGCACCACCGGCCAACCTGGCCACCGACATGGAACACAGAGCTGCAGGACAGCTGCACAAGCCACGACGACACATGCCAACAGATGGTCACACACACAAACAACCGACAGCTCCGACTTGACGATGAGCATCATAAGGGAAATATGCAGTACTTGCGCCGACCGTGCTCACCACATACGACCACCGAGTGCCTGTCATCGTCGCCACCTGGACTCACTCCACCGCAGCTCCGATTTCAAAACAACCAGGCAACCCACGGAAGAGCACCTCGGACACGTCGGGAAGATCCGACTACCAAAGCCCGAGCCGCAACCGAAGCTCCTCTCAACGCCGCCATCGTTGCCATACAGAAATCATTGCCCCCGAAACAGCCTCCTCAGCAAACCACGCGGCGAAGATGACGCCAACCACCGCGGTAAAGATGCCGTCAACCACCGGTCTCTAGTTGTAGCCGGCTCCAAGACGATGCCCCAAAGGAGGAAGAAGACGTGAAGGCGCCTTCATCGCCTGATCCCGCGGATCAGCGGTTTCCCTCCAGAGCCAAGGCCGCGGGAAGAGGGGAGAGGCAACACACTGCATCGATGCTTCCAAGAAAGAGAGCGGCGCCTGCGGGCGTCGTCGCCGCCGCATCCGGCAAAGGCCGGAGATAGGATTTCTCCCGGTGAAGCTCGTCCACCAACTGCCCGAACCGGTCGGCCACAAACTGCCGCCCACCAAACCTCGTAGAGCACCGAGGCACGTCGTCTGACTCCAACTGGCCGCAGGATCCCCCGGTCCGCCACGTCCAGGCACGCACCGCCCCCTGACCGAAGCCGCCACCACCAAATCCGGGGCCGCCGCCCCGGCAACCGCAACCATAGCCAGCAGATCTGGCACCCACCTTGCGCTGCATTGCCACGAAGCCGCAGATCCTCACTGCAACACCGGAGCCGGGGGGAGGGGGGGGGAGAGCTGCCACCCCGTCCCGAATCCCTCCTGGACGAGCTGCCGGACCGAACCCGAACGCAGCCCGCACCACAGCCGCACTGCCTAGCCACACCTCAGCCGCCAGTCGGAGAACCCAGCAGGCACAACTGCCCACCGTCGTGGGAGAGCCGAATCCGGCCGCACTCGCCCAGATCTGGCGAGCTGCCGTCGATGGATCGCCGAGAGGGCCGCCAGATGCCGGCTCGGAGTTGAACGCGAGGAGGATGCTCCAGGCACCGGAGAAGAAGGGGGGCGCCACCCAACCCCGCCTAGCCGGAGAGGAGCGCCGGCGGAAGCCCGTCGGTCACGCGCATCCACGTAGCGCAGCGAAGGGGGCCGGGCCTCCTCACTGAGAGCCGCCAGGCGAGAAGAGCGCCTCCGCCGCCGCCGTCCGCCACACGGGCTTAGCCCGGCGGCATCCTCCGGCGACGGCGGCGGAGAGGGGAGGGGCGAGGAGGCTGACCGGCGGAGAGGGATTGGATTCCGCCCGTGTCGCCGCTGGCGACGCGGGGGACGGGTATTTTCCCGGCTATACAATAACAACTACCAATAGTGCACTTGGTCGCCACGAGAAATAGATGTGCGGCCTCCTCATAGATAGAGAGAGATAGAAGGCCAAAGTGTTAACAAATCTAGCATAACAAAACTAGCATCATGTTTTTGCTGGTGGCGGTGGGTCTACCTCCTCCTGTGTGGATCGTCTCACCGTCTGGGCCTATCTCCTTCTGTTTGTAGGCAGTGCTTGCAAACGGTACACGTTTGCCGATTCGGTCAACGATATTGCGCTGTCAGCCAACGCATTTCCGTCCGTCATTAGAGCTAATCAGCTACTCTAATTCTAAAAACAGAGGCAAATACAATACATTTTAAAAACAATATCATACTCTATAGCCTGAAACTGCATTCGAGTTATTTTCCCACCTCCGCTCACCATCCGATCTAAAATGAATGGTTGGAATCAAGATGTCAACTGCGTCAGAACATGAGATAAGGTCACTTGGCTTCCTATTTTTTACCACAGGTGAAATCTGGAGGCGGACTCCATGCAAACCTTGTACTTTGAAAAATCCCCAGCTGGAACATATCAAATCTCTGTGATACGCTTGTCTGTGGCAGCAGCCGGAGTATCATGTAAAAGGAAACTCGCAGAAGGAATCACCCGCAGGACTTTCTGCGATCTCACAGCAGGCTAGTGAGATGCAACGGCCGAGTATTATAATGCCATGCGGTCGGTGATAATTATCCGGGTCGGTTTTGTATTTGGTTAGTCAACGGTTGGAGATGATTCCCTGTGATCATGGGCTGCTGTTGATTCATATAGTATGCTTGCAAGAAGGGAGCTTAATGGCCGGTCAAAATTATAGATCTGGAAAGCGTCCGTTTGTGATGTACTGTGCTACGTCGGAAATGGTGGACTGAGGAGGATATGAGGTAGGCTTGCTTGCAAGAGAAGGATGTGTGTCACCCGCAAAAAGAGAGAGAGAGAGAGAGAAGGATGCGTGTGTTTCCATAGGCTGGAAGCATGCCGTGTGTAGCACCACCGCATTTGGATTCCTCTCCCACCTTCCGAGTCCTTCCGTGTGTTACTTACTACTCCCTCCGTCCTCGCGTGGTTGTATTGTCTCGACAGGCCCTCCGTGGAGCGGCGTGTGTGGGTATTTTATACGTGCCGTCAATTTTTTCGCTAATTAACTGAAAAACTCTCTTCTGCTTAGTTAACGGACGGGGCAAATTTATTGCCTCCGTTTCAAAATAAATAAATATAAGAGCTTATATTATGAGAGGGAGGAAACAGTTACTACTGTAGCAAAGAATTTTGAGTGCCTCATCTATCACATCGATGAATCCAAGGAACTCAGTTTTCGCTCAGCTTTTTGTTATTCTTAATTAATCGACGAGACAAATCTTTTGACTCTGTTTAAATTTTTCTGAATCCGAGGAACTCGGTGCGATCGTTCAGTTTAGCCACAGCCAAGTTCCAGGTGTCATTCTCAGGCTCTCTTTTGACAGTCTTTTTCTTAGCCCATTGGTTCAGGTGCTACCAACCCAATTGCAACGAATGCTACTACTTTTTCTCCCTGAAACAAACTTGAGTAAAGATCACTCTCCCCACTGCCTCTAGTAGTACTTGAAACGGAACAGCGAATAGGTATCTTCTTCTTAACTTTGAATGTAAAACCAAAACTTTCGGCATTGACCTGGAGCAAATGGCGCCCCATATCCCCTTGTTTTCTCCCTGAAAATCTCATAGCGCGTCTCACGTTGAGGATAGGGAACACGCTGCCAAGCACCGTCGTGCTAGGCACTCAACCGCCGGCTACCAAAACCAGTATGAACAGAGACAGAATGAAACCAGGGTTAACAATCCAATAAAATAAGGTTTAGATCAGTAAGTATGAATCTCCCCCGAATTAAGCTTCCTCGGCACTAATTGCCAGCATCTCTTTCAATTATGACCCCTTTGACTATTCCCTCGCAGAATTGCCGGCCTATGTTGTATATATAGCCTTTTTTTTTGCGGGCCTATGTTGTATATATAGCCTTCTCGCATCATTTCTACTCCTACTTCATATAGACTTGGAATGGGGATGGGCCATTAGTACGAGTTGGTGTGGTGTGCATCGCGATCTATGGACATGGACATGGAGGAGCCTCCCCACCTGTTCCTGTGCCCCATCTCCATGGAGCTCATGGAGGAGCCCGTCACGGTGTCCACCGGCGTCACCTACGACCGCCGCAGCATCGAGCGCTGGCTATTCTCGTACGGCCGGACCACCTGCCCGGCCACGATGCAGCCGCTCGCCAACCTTGACCTCACCCCGAACCACACCCTCGCGCGCGTCATCTCCTCCTGGCTCGACCGCGGCTCCTCCTCCTCCTCCTCGTCTTCGTCGTCGCCGTCTACATCGTCGCTGTCGAGTCCGGTCCACGAGCTGGGGACGCCGCTGACGAGGATGCTGGAGGAGGAGCGGCTGCGGTCGGCGCTGGGCGACCTCGAGGAGACGCCGTTCAAGGTGACCGCGCTCAAGAGCATGCGGAGCTGCATGGCGGGCGACGTGGCCATGCAGATCATCTTCGTCGCCTCGGGCGGCGTTGAGGCGGTCGGGCGCGTGATGGCGCAGGCGCTGGCGGAGAGCGGCGCGGGAGGCGACTTCTCCGCGTTCACGGTGTGCGAGGAGGCTGCCGCGGTGCTCGCCGCGCTCCCGCTCTCCGACGAGGCGTCGGTGGGGCTCGTTCTTGCGCCGGAGTGCCTGAGGCCCATCATGGCGTTGCTCCAGCGCGGCAGCGCGGAGGCGAGGCTGCACGCCATGGACATCCTCACCAAGATCTCCAGTGCCGGCGCCGGTGACCACTGGACCGCCGGCATCGACGTCGATGACGTGCTCAAGTCCCTCCTCGAGCTCCTGTCCGACGAGGTCTCCGCGCGCCTCAGCTCGCGCGCGCTCGACGTGCTCCTGGACGTGGTGGAGCGGTCGCCGAGCGGCCGCGCCAAGGCCGTGGAGGTCGGCGCGGTGCACGTCCTCGTCGAGCTCCTCGTCGTGGACGCCGACGACCGCCACGTCGCCGAGCGGATACTGCTGCTTCTCAAGCGGCTGTGCAAGTGCCCCGAGGGGCGCCTTGCCTTCGCCGAGCACGACCTGTCGGTGGCAGCCGTGGCGAGGACAATGCTGCGGGTGTCGGATCTGGCCACGCAGCTGGCCGTCAAGGTGCTGTGGCTCGTGTCCATGGTGGCGCAGTCGGAGAAGGTGCTCGAGGACATGGTGCTCACCGGCGCCGTGGCGAAGCTGCTCGGGCTGCTGCACGTCGAGAGCGCGCCGTCTACGAAGCAAAAGACGGTGAGGATGGTGAGGATCCACGGCGTGTTCTGGAGGCAGTACCCTTGCTTCCCCACAGACCTCAAGGATTACTTGAGGTTGCTCGATTGATTTGTTCATTGGTATCGGGTAATCTGCAAGAAAGTGAACGAAAACCGTGAATTTTCTTATAGTAGAAAAGTTTTGGAACTAATCTATTTGTGATTATAATGTAAAGACTACAGGGAATGTATCTATTATATTATGGAAAATGTACATGAAACAGCAAGAGCATCATTCCCTCTTACGTCCATCTTAATGGTTTTGACATTCCCAATTTTTTCAAGAAATTGGCAGTTGTGTTCTCTCCTCCTGCGCTATTGCAGTGCCGATCGATCCGCAATCATAAACCAGGAGCTGCCGCACGAATCCACATTACTGTGTAGGTCTTCGATTCTATGCATTGCAACCTATTCGGCATCTCGAATTTCCAGTGATTAAGTTTGAGCACTATTTTAGAGAAACAATTAAAGAGGAGGTGATGATATAACTTTACGTAAGTTTGTTTTCAGATAAATTTTATATGCACAATAAAAACGACGGAGAAAGTATTTTACACTATGAACATAGTAACTTAGACTAATGTCATATGCATGACTAGTATAAATTACTCTCACTATGACCAGCCTAATGCTTAAACTTGCTAAGCAATGGAAAATCATTGCTGATATGCACGCCCCTCATGTGTCAGCCAAAGCCTCTAGTATGCATGGCCCACTTATGACATATTCATGTATACTTCCATGTTTTTGTTATGTATTATGTTTTTGGTGAGAGCAGCAATTTAAGAAAGATATAAAAGTAATAAAAAATCTGAATTTGTTTAGGCACCCAAGACGGCCAGGTGTGCTAGGTGCGTGCAATTTTTTGTGATCAAACGGCATATGTGGAGTGCGTGGCAAAAAAATCTACTTAAAAACATTGAAAAAGAAGCGTTGTGTATATGCCGCTCTGAAGTAAAAGACGGTGAGGATCCACGACGTTTTTGGAGGCAGTACCCTTACTTCCCCACCGACCTCAAGGATTACTTGAGGTTGCTTGATTGATTTGTTCATTGGTTTCAGCAGCAAGAAAGTGAACGAAAATAGTGAATTTTTTTCTAGTACATAAGTTTTGGAACTGATATATTTGTGATTATAGTGTAAAGACTATACGGGATGTATCTCAAAATATATGGAAAATGTGTATGAAACAGCAAGAGCATCATTCCTTGTTTCATGCGACATTCCAATTTTCTTCAAGAAATTGGCAGTTGTGCTCTCTCCTCGTGTGCATTGCACTGCCGATCAATCCCCAATTATAAACCAAGCGCCGTCGCACGAATCCACAGTACCGTGTAGGCCTTCGATCCTGTGCATTGCAACATGTTTAGCATCTCGAATTTCCAGTGATTAATTTTGAGCACCGTTTTAGAGAAACAAACAAAAAGGAGGTAATGATGTAACTTTATGAAGTTTGACTTTAGATAAATCTTATATGCGTATCAAAAAGGACCAGAGGAAGTACTTTGCACTATGAACGTAGTAATTTAGACTAGTGCCATATGCATGACACTAATATAAGTTACTCCCACTATGGCAAGCCTAATGTTTAAACTTGTGCGCATACTATTAATGTCATGTGCTAAGCAATGGAAAAATCAGTGCGAATATGCACGCTTCTCATGTATCAGCCAAAGCCTCTAGTATGTATGGCCCACGTATGACATATTCGTGTGTACTTCCATGTTTTAGTTATGTTTTGTACTTATAGTGAGAGTAGCAATTCAAAAAATAAATAAATATAACAAGTAATAAAAAATTGAACTTGTTTAGGCACGAAAGACCGTCAAGGTGCACTGGGTGCGTGCAAATTCTCATGATTAAACGACATATGAAGAGGCGAATCAACCTGTGGTTGAGTTGGTTAGGTGGACAGTGGTATCCCCAACCCATCAGGGTTCAAATCCTGGTGCTCGCATTATTCCTAGATTTATTTCAGGATTTCCGGCGATGCGTTTTCAATGGGAGGAGACATTCCCGTCGACGACGAGGCGCCTACGGTGACTTCGTAAATCTCAAGATGATATGCCGGCCCAGTCTCTCGGAGGTGCTCATAGGGGTAGGGTGTGCGTGCGTGCGTTCATAGGGGTAAGTGTATGCGCGTGTATATGAGCGCTTGTGTCTGTACTGATGCTAAAAAACGGCATATGAAGAGTGCATGGCAAAAAAACATAACTCTATTGTTAAAAAAAATTGAAAACAAAAGCACCGTGTACACTTGATGTTTTTTTGCCACAAGCTCCTCGGATGTCATTTGACAATGAAAATTTACATGCACCTGACGCATTTGAGCATCTTGGATGCCTAAAGATCTCAAAAGTTTTTTAATTTTTCTATTAAAATTTTAAATTTACTGTTCGCCGAGAGCAGATGAGTCTAGGTTCCTCTCTAGATTACCGATCTTTACCTTTTTTTTTCAACTACCTCACAGTATCTCTAACCAATCAACGCTTGAGATAACGTCGACAGGGACGTCTCTTCTCACATTCCCAGTTACACTATCCTCGGCAAGTCAATTAATCGGTACCCATGAGCCAAAAATCCATCCCACATTGGAAATGCACGGAAACTGTCGGAGTAAATAACCACATGTAGCCTTATCCGCTCCCCCTGGTTCTTCAAAACAACGGGCCGACTGCGCCCCTTAAGCTTCCAAGACGAAGGGCCGCCTTCTCGTGGCCGGCTGCAAGAAGGCGGCAAGGTTTAGTAAGCCGTCCCAAGGTGGGCCGACTCCTAGCAGGCGGCCACCAGAGTGGCCGATGATAACCCATAAGTGTAAGGGATCGCAACAGCTTTCGAGGGTCAAGTATTCAACCCAAATTTACTGATTCGACACAAGGGAAGCCAAAGAATATTATTGAGTATTAGCAGTTGAGTTGTCAATTCAACCACACCTGGATAACTTAGTATCTGCAGCAAAGTATTTAGTAGCAAAGTAGTATAATAATAAAGGTAACAGTAGCAAAAGTAATGTTTTTGGGTTTTGTAGTGATTGTAACAATAGCAACAGAAAAGTAAATAAGCAAAGCACAAGGTGTGAAAAGCTCGTAGGCATTGGATCAGTTATGGATAATTATGTCGGATGCGATTCCTCATGTAATAGCTATAACATAGGATGACACAGAACTAGCTTCAATTCATCAATGTAATGTAGGCATGTATTCCGTATATAGTCATACGTGCTTATGGAAAAGAACTTGCATACCATCTTTTGTCCTACCCTCCCGTGGCAGCGGGGTCCTAGCGAAAACTAAGGGATATTAAGGCCTCCTTTTATAGAGAACCGGAACAAAGCATTAGCACATAGTGAATACATGAACTCCTCAAACTACAATCATCACCAAGAAGTATCCCGATTATTGTCACTTCGGGGTTGTCGGATCATAACACATAATAGGTGACTATAGACTTGCAAGATAGGATCAAGAACACACATATATTCATGAAAACATAATAGGTTCAGATCTGAAATCATGGCACTCGGGCCCTAGTGACAAGCATTAAGCATAGCAAAGTCATAGCAACATCAATCTCAGAACATAGTGAATACTAGGGATCAAACCCTAACAAAACTAACTTGATTACATGGTAAATCTCATCCAACCCATCACTGTCCAGCAAGCCTACGATGGAATTACTCTCGCACGGCGGTGAGCATCATAAAATTGGTGATGGAGGATGGTTGATGATGACGACGACGATGAATCCCCCTCTTCGGAGCCCCGAACGGACTCCAGATCAGCCCTCCCGAGAGAGATTAGAGCTTGGCGGCGGCTCCGTATTGTAAAACACGATGAAACTTTCTCTCTGATTTTTTTCTCCGCGAGACAGAATATATGGAGTTGGAGTTGAGGTCGGTGGAGCCTCAGGGGGCCCATGAGACAGGGGCGCGCCCAGGGGGTGGGCGCGCCCCCCACCCTCATGGACAGGGTGTGGGGCCCCTGGTCTTGATTCTTTCGCCAGTATTTTTTATATTTTCCAAAAAGTGCCTCCGTGGATTTTCAGGACATTCCGAGAACTTTTGTTTTCTACACATAAAACAACATCATGGCAGTTCTGCTGAAAACAGCGTCAGTCCGGGTTAGTTTCATTCAAATCATGCAAGTTAGAGTCCAAAACAAGGGCAAAAGTGTTTGGAAAAGTAGATACGTTGGAGACGTATCAGCCGACTCCTACCAAGCGGCCAGACATACACCCTCAAAGTTTGCACCCACATAACGGTGACAAGACGGGGCATGGCTACGGTAAAGCCTGCCACCCCCGAATCCCGGAGCGAGCATGGCCACAGTGCACCATATCGGGCGGCCATCCCCCGCCCGGTGCGGCACTGTTGCCACGTTGACCATGACATCACCCACGACAGAGATACCATGCCCCCACGACTAGCTCTCAGTACGGCCCGCAGGCGGCAGGCCCCTCCTGCCAGAGAGCCACCAGAGGGTGGCTTGGCAAGACTAGTCGGCATGAAGGAAGGCTGGCTCCCAACAGTCGGCCTACCTTCACCCTAGAAGTTTGTGCACCATTAACCAGATAAGACGGGGTGAGGCTACAGTGAACGCCCGCCAGGCGGCGGCACTGTAGCCATGCTTGCCCCGACAAAGCCATCGTCATCAAGGGTGAGGCTACAGTGATGAGCGGCCGACAGGGACCACAGGCGGTGGGCCCAACTTGTCGGCCAAGAGGCCGGCAGTCGGCGGGCCCAAGTGGCCGGCGGAGAAGCCGGCGCCCACAGACACTGACGGCCTGGGTCCACACCCAGACGGATTACTATTGTACCCCTGGGGGGTAGGCCTATATAAACCCCCGAGGACACCCATGCAAAGGGTTGATCCATTAGAACTACACACACCACGTAGAGAGAAGAGGAGAGCTAGTCGTGCCCTTCTTCCTCTAGCCAAAATAGTTCAAGGAGCCACTTGTAGCTACTTGATTTAATGATTATGCGGAGACCCCGCAGAGCAGGACTAGGGGTGTTATCTCCTAGGAGAGCCCCGAACCTGGGTAAGATTCGCCGGCGTGCATGTCTTTGCC